ACCATCCTTCAACATAAGTTGTAAGTCAAAGTTGTTAAAGAGTTTAAGGGCTCTATAGGATAATGTTGCAGACCACAGTGATGCCTTGATCACACTGCCCGCGATCGTACCACCACTTATTCTCCAACTTCTTCAGCTCTCCTCTCTCTTGTAAAGCGAGAATCGCAAGATTGATGTGATCCTTCCAATCGGAGCCAAAAGGTGTTGCCACCCCATAGCCGATGCTATTCAAATTCGCACCTTAAAAGTCTCACGAGAATGTCTGAAAGGTCTCAAAAGCGGACGTTCTACTTACCGACTTTCATTGTGTCACAAGGCTTCCGCGTATTCTCGTACTCATTAGCGGTGGCCTCAAGAAGAAACGCGTACCGCCCTTTATGACTACGAACTCTTTCGATACCCTCTGCGTAGCTGGAAACAAACACTGACGGTACTTGCGATTCCATGTAGCGCCACATTCGTTGGTAGATTTGTACCGACGAGTACTGCAAGACGTGTTCTTGAGAACTTCCTTCCTGTCAGTCTCTATGTGAAATGAACTGAACGACGGTTTCACCTTGAAAAACGACGCTGTCGATCCTCCACCCTGAATACCGTATTTGATTTTTGTCTGTTTGGCAAGATCTTCAACACTTTCAATCGGCGCTTGCATTTTTTCGAGCGTCAGGAAAGCGGCCAGGTTTGCAGTATATGACGAGACGATGATCATCGTGAAGAACCACCACGCAGACGACGCGATTCGTCCGGAAATTGACCTGAATTCAGACCAAATCAATCGATTAGGTTGTCTAAATTCCATCGGTCACGATGGAAGTGCTCCTTCAAGGAAGGAGCTTCGTCAACCTCAGGAGCCTGACCTCAACTTACAAACAAATAAAGCTCCTCAGCCTCATGATCAACTGCTGTGATTGCAAGAGGTAACACACATCCCTTTTATAGCGTAACTTCATGGATAAGAATAGAAATGGGAAGCGTGTATCCCATTTCTGGCGTTGGGCCGCGCCAGCCATAGCCGCGAGTGCGGTATCTATGTACTGCAGACCAGGGTACATCCTGGGATGGGGGAGATGGTGGTGTCAAACGACCTAATTCACCCGGTTTCTTCCTCCAGCACGATCCCTCTCCCTCTCCCATCCCATCCTACCTGCCATGCTCCCAAGTTTTCCCAACTTCCTGCTAACTTTTTCCCCAGTCTCCCAAGAAAAATTGGTTCTCCCGCAGAAAAAGTGGGAGAGGGCACCGATCAACTACTAGTTGCAACTGTCGAAAATAGTAGTTGTATGATAGACAACCGAAATCTCAATAACTGAAAAAGTTTCTCTCGCGGTTCAAAAAGTTCTGTCGAGGCCAAAGACGACCCCCATCGACCACATACGGCCCTTTCTCCTCGCCAACGACGAAGCGACAAAGAACTCTTTCTAGTGGGGCTCTTCTAACCTTAGGATGCTGTGC